TGTGAGAGCAGGCAGTGTGTGAGTGAGGAGAGCAGGCAGTGTGTGAGAGCAGGCAGTGTGTGAGTGAGAGCAGGCAGTGAGGAGAGCAGGCAGTGTGTGAGAGCAGGCAGTGTGTGAGTGAGAGCAGGCAGTGAGGAGAGCAGGCAGTGTGTGAGTGCAGGCAGTGTGTGAGTGAGAGCAGGCAGTGTGTGAGAGCAGGCAGTGTGTGAGAGCAGGCAGTGTGTGAGTGAGTACAGGCAGTGTGGCTCACCTTTCTGTGCTGATGCCGGACAACTGAGCAACCCGAGATGCTGCCTTTTAACAGACGGTGCCGCTGGTGAGACTTATTGGTTCTAGCAGTGTCTCCCTCAGAGACGGAGAGTGGGGTGTGCTGGGGCTCTTGGGTGTCTCTGGGCTCTGAGGTTGGCTGTTCCCTGGTTTCTCAGCGCTCTCTACCTCCTGTCCCGCCCCTCCTCACTCTATGGCAGAGCACAGTAAGCACAGGAGTTTTCTCGATGGAAAGGCTTCCCCGGAGAGAGGAGGCGACACAGTGTGGATGCGCTTAGCACTAGTGTACTATACACTTCAAAACAGTTAACATGGTAAATTCTAAAACCACGAACGAAACAAACCGCGAGATAAAAGCTGATGCCATCACAGAATCCAAGCACCAGAATGCCAAGGTCAGTCTGAAGTGTCCCCTCCCCCAGGCTCGCGCGTTTAAAGCAGTGGCTCCCAGCGGGAAGAAGCAGGAACACCCAGGCCTACTTCCTGCTATCTCTTTGCTCTTAACTGCTGCCACAATGTGACCAGCCACTTCACACTCCCGTCGCCACGTGCTTCACGTCACAGTGCACTGGATCCTTTCTTAAACCCTACGCCAAAACAAACCTTTCCATCTTTTAGGTTGCTACTGTCAGATATTTTATAACAGCCAGAAACCACACACAGAATCCTAGCAAATTCCCCAAGAGCAAGTACAGAAATGGCCCAGCATTGAGCAGAGGCAGTTGGTAACTGCAGGAGGAAGGCAGTGAATGGCAAAGACACAGAGGCAGCAAAGCTGGGTTCTAAGGTGGGCTCACAGAAGGTCCTCTTTAGCAACGTGTCTCCATTTCCTCATTCGTAAAAGATGGGTGACGATTACTGCCTTGTGGAACTGTGAGGAGCCCGGGCCAACACGTGCTGGGCACTCCTCCCTGAGCCTGGCAGGATACAGAAGATCTTACAGATGGAGAATCTAACAGGAAAAAGACCCTGGCCCACCACAAGGGAGCCAGTTACGATCATCAGAGCCCTTCACTTCCGGTGAAGAGGGAGCAGGGGCTTCTGAGACTGCAGACATACTCCCGTGATAATATACGGTCACTGGTTAACGATTCCAATTCAGCAATGAAAGTCCTGATTTTCACATTCGGTGATGGCTAGCCTGAGAGTCCGTGCCCTTTATGAGATGCTAATTTTCTCCTTAGTGCAGCGGGCATTTGCACTTATGATTATCACTCAGCCAGGGCTGGGAGCATCCCTGCCTTCCCAGAGCATGCAGGTCACTTCTCCGCTAATTGCTGCCGCCTCCTTAATTATTTCATGTAATTGGCAGCTGAACAGCTGCCTGGACTGCCAATCCTCAGGAGGTGGGATGAAACTGAGGCCTGCTGAGGATACCCAGAGAGACCCTGCTTCAAACAGACAAACAACGGGGCTGGATACAAGAAAACAGATGCACTAACAGCTTATCACAGCGAAGAGAAACAGTGTGTAAGCATACGTCTGTCCTAATAGTGTTCTATCGTGTGTGTATGCACTAAGAAGCGAAGACAACTATGATTCAGCAGTCAGTCTCCTGTAGTTGGGGGGAACTGTGCAATATGAGACTTGCTCAGGTACTGAGGCAGGATAGAATTCCATCGCGATGGTGAAACATTATAGTGCGTTCCACAGGTATCACTACTGGAGGACTGCACCTGCCACGTCACAGATTTAAGGTGGCAAACAGAAGAATATGAGCCAAGCACATCGTTTCTATTTCTCTTACCACTCACTTGCCCTGGAATCTTCTCCCAATGCTTTTTGTAACCCAAGAATCCAAGGCTCAGAGTCGCCACAGCCAAAAGAGCACACAGCTACTGAAAGGAGAGTCACATTCTTGCCATTTTAGTTCTGAGTTAGCAGACCTTACAGAAAGCACCCTTCTCGAAGAAATGAATGACGCTGAGTTTAAGGTCTGCAAATCAAGGGTTCTACCCTGTGAGGTCCAGCTTAGAAACGGGGCATTAATGGCCAGACTGTGGCTGTCGAATAATCGTCATACAAGCCTATTTATTTATTAATTTAAAAAATGAAAGCATTTCATCCCAAGTGCACATCTTTTAAAGGGTAAAAACGCAGATGTGCATAATTTAGAGTCCAGCTGTGGGATGTGTTCTAACTAGGCCCTGGCTGGTGGGAGTCACAGAGCTCCAGCTGCTCAACAGCATGTCCTCCAGCCTCCTGCAGTCCTGCTCTGCTGCTCTCTGCAAGGCCTGTCTTTTCATGTGGGCCTCAGGGATGTTTTTACAGACCTTGGCAGACAAGCTCCATCTTCAGCCTGTGTCCTGTAAGTGATCTCAGTCACCTGTGTTACACGACATCATACTGAGAAGTCCCAGCTGACATTAAAGCAACTGTCCTGGGGCTTCTGGGAAACCTCCAGGGACAGTGTCCACAATCACACTGACCAAGGAAAACATATCAGCCAAGTCAGCTGAGTTCTCGGGGGGGGGGGGGCACAGAGCGGGAGGTGAGAGGAGCACCCGAATGCACTCAGAAAGCGAGGTCACGATTGCCGACACCCTTCTCCCCCTCAGCCCTCAGAAACAAACACTCAGCAGACCAAATGGCACTAGTCAATCATCTACCTACTGGTCCTACTGAGTCACGGCTGCCACTGGTGGCCTCTGGGTGTGAGTGAGAAGAAAACCCGTTTGCCAGTAATGAATTCCTTTCTCACTGTGTGCTGAAGGTCAGAGTGGAAACACAGGAAGTAGGAACAAGCTGAGGAATGTGCCAGGGAACAGTGAGTTAGTTTCTCAGCACCAAGCTACGCCCAAAGGAACAAGCAAACCTGACTCTGAAATCCCTGGGAGGACCCTCCCAGGGCAAGGGGCAAATCTCACGACCAGGCATCATCTGTCTCAAAAAGAGGAGCACCCCAGCTCCTCTAACCAGCTACCCAGCTAACGGATGGTTGTCTGGCACCAACTGATGGGACCGGGAACCAGGCAAGGCCTGGACTGGAAGGGGCTCCAGAATTTGTGTACCATCACAGGAGATGCTTCGGCTGTAGGCAGTAGGCAGTAGGCGTGCGTTTAGGCGTTCAGGGCAGGTGTCCCTCATTCCTCCAGTCTGCTAAACAGACCTTAATCTTTCGTTAGTTTCTATAGAAACAACCAAATCATAAGCATGTGCAAGCATCTTAGTCACACGCCACCCTCAGTGCCGCCTCGCCTGCTTCTGGGAGTCCCTTAGACTCTGTTCAACAAGTACAGATGTGGTGCACATCAGCAGTAACAGAGGAGACAGTGGCGCGGCTGTCACAGACCACTAGGTGGCACTTCTCCTCGGACACAGCTACAGGCTTCCTGCTCTCTGCCGCACTCATGCTCTGTCCCTCCTGTTTAGAACAGCCACTGTGTCCTCTGCAGGTGGCCCACCCCACTACACGGAAAGAGCCTGTGGTGCTCGGCTCCCCACGGGAACCGCTTTAGACGCCGGGTCATTCACGAAGCCTGGACCCGGTCCACTTTTACAGGGAGGACTGGACAACCTGTTGGCACCCATACAACACAGTCTTTTCAAAGTCATCCTTAGGGGCGGGAGAGCTAGAGAAGGGTTACATGGTCTGTTCTTCCAGAGGATGGTTCAACTCCCAGCACCTACACGGTGGCTCGCAACTGTCTGTTGTAAGGCAGACAGACAGACACACACACACAATCCGGTACCTTCTTCTAGCCTTCTAGGCACTGCATACACTTGGTACACACACAGGCAATTGAAATATCCATACACATAAAATAAAATAAGGAAAAAAACAAGTTATCTTCAGAGTCGAGAGGACTTGGGTCTCATGTTCTGCCTTGTAAGTTTCTTTTCCCCTCTTCTTCTGATCTGCTAGTCTATGCTCTCAGTTTCAGAATAAACAACAGAAAACAGCACAGAGGAGGAACATGCAGAAGCCAGCACAGCGGAGGAACACACTGAAGACAGCAAAGGAGGAACATGCAGAAGCCAGCACAGAGGAGGAACACACTGAAGACAGCAGAGGAGGAACACGCAGAAGCCAGCACAGAGGAGGAACACGCAGAAGACAGCACAGAGAAGGAACACACAGAAGACAGCAGAGGAGGAACACGCAGAAGACAGCACAGAGAAGGAACACACAGAAGACAGCAGAGGAGGAACACGGAGAAGACAGCAGAGGAGGAACACACAGAAGCCAGCACAGAGGAGGAACACACAGATGCCAGCAGAGGAGGAACACGGAGAAGCCAGCAGAGGAGGAATACGCAGAAGCCAGCAGAGGAGGAACACGCAGAAGCCAGCCCAGAGGAGGAACACACAGAAGCCAGCAGAGGAGGAACACGCAGAAGCCTACCATTTGACTTTGAAGCCACTCAATGAGCACTTCTGCTGTTGAGTCTGGGATCTGGCATCTCAATCCTTCCTTCTCTTCTGTTTCCATCATCTCCAGCACTCCACGAAGGTCTTCCACGAGGTGCAAGGCTCGCAAGCTTCCCATAAACGGGGAGGTGGGAGATTGGCAATCAAAAATCCCATTGGAATACTCCAAGGCTTTGGAACCTGGTGTCCAAAAACAGTAGAGAGCAACAGACTTGTTAGGTAAAATACTACACCTGAGTAAGATAAATCGGCACAGTCACCAGCGATATCACAAAAACAGGGAAAAGACAAATTAATTCAATCATGTCAATCTAGCCCTCCAAATCTTACATAGTCAAAAAAAATAAAAAATGTCACTGACAGTACTTAAAAATGGGCTGATGCCTAAGGAAAAGGCCAGCTATGGGGGACAGGAGGAAAAAAAGAGCATGGTAGGAGCATGGTAGCTCAGAGGTGACCACAACAAGGCGATGACTGGTTCGTGTGGAACTGTGCCTCCCGGAAACCATGAAGTCTTTGAGTTCCCTGAAAATGAACTAAGTGGCAGTGTTAGTAAGTTACACGTGTGACTATGCATGTGTGAGCACGTGTGTAAGCATTTCCTCTGCCACTGAGCTTATAACCTTAGCACCACATTTCTCGTTAACATTAGCTTTAAAAGCTGGTGGTCTAAGGAGTGGTGGTGCACGCCTTTAGTCCCAGCACTTGGGAGGCAGAGGCAGACAGACCTCTAGGATTTCTAGGCCAGCCTGGTCTACATAACAAGCTGCAGTTCAGCCAGACTACACAGCAAGGCCCTGTCTCGTGTGGTAGTCTGCAAGTCCAGGACTCGGGAGGCAGAGCCAAGATACCTGGAACAAGCCGAGCTGGTGAGCTCTGGGTTCAACAGAGCCATTACTTCAAAGAATAAGGTGAAAAGTCAAGGAAGACACCCCACATCAGCATCAGACCTCCCCATGCACCCCCACACATGTGGACAGGCAGATGGCCCACGCGCACACACGCACACACACACAATCCAGAGGGCTGCAGTGTCCTGTTCCAGCATCACCTGGTATTATTCCCGTGGTCGCTTCTACTGCGCTGTGTCCTGTCACAGGACGGAGGGAGCACGGACAGAGACACATGTTTAGTTTAAAACAACACAAGCTGGAAACAAAAGAAGCTACGCAGCTGCACTCGCTTCTGCCCGCCCCCGCCTCCTTCAGTGAAGCGCCACTGCTGCCCCCTGGACAAGCCAGGCCCTGCCCGCCCACGGAACACCTGGCTTAGTTTGCCATGGGTCCTGGACAATCTTTATTTTTCTTATTATTTTCTACAAAAGTTTATGAACGTTTGCTTATTTGCCTGTGCGCTCCTCAGACACACATGCTGCTACATGAGTTTATATGTGTTGCGCACGTAGCAGGCATAAGGAGCGCAGCTGGCTCCCTTAGAACGGGAGCTGGGAGCGTCTGTAAGCCGGGCAGTGTGGGGGCTGGGGATGTGACCCAGAGCCTCGACGCAGCAGGAAGTGAGCTTGGCCACCGAGCCATCTCTTCCGTCCTGAACTGTTGTTATATTTGTGTGCTGTTTTCTCACGCATACGCACAGTGAGAACATACATGTGTCACGTTGCTTGTGTGGAAGTCAGAGGACAAACCACAGAGCGTGTCTTCCTCTCTACCGTGTGGGTCCCAGGACTGAACTCAGGTCATCAGGCCTGGTGGCAAGAACCCTTCCCTACGGAGCCCTCTTGCTGGCCCTTTTTCTTAGTGACTCCCAACACTGGTCCTTCAGGCCTGTGGGGGTTAATAGACAAACACGCTAGTGTGGTAGATCAGGCTGTCCACGTATAAAGTGCACAGCCTTCAAGATGCTACTCCTGCTCTGTTTATCACTGCTCCAGCTTTTCTGATTAAGGTTAGTGCCTCGCAAGAGCCTGGGATTGCACCTAGTTGTGCTTTCTAAACTCATGAGAGAATAAGCCCCACCTCTTCTGTATATGCAAAACTGTTTGGGAGCACAGAGCCCAAGAAGATTGATCCCACTGTGAAAGCTGAGATTGGGAACTATAAAAATTTGTTTCTTGTTTGGTGTGGCTCAGCCCTAACACACACCTTTAATCCAAGAGCTTTCTGTACACAGGACTAAATAAAGTTAACCCTAGGCCAAGAGGTAGAGCAAGCAAACAGCTGACAGGCATTAAAGAGAAAGGAGGAATATTGAGAGAAGAGTACTTTTGAGACACGGTGGAGATGAAAGGGCTTTTAGCTTTTTCCATAGGGACATCAGCTTCGAAGGAAGGTCAGCTGGGTGCTTTCTCTACCTCTCTGAGCTAGCAGGCTTTCACCACAATATCTCCTGTGTCTTTATTGGCAAAATCGAATGTTTGAGATTTTCATTTTTCAAAACAACACAAGACTATTCTGCTTTAAAGTTAACCAGTTCTTTGTTAGATTTGATTATTGGATGATCAAGTTCATCTCTCTAAAGAGGTTTGCTTACAAACAACCCTTCGTAAAGACATCCCTAGGACTGAGTGGAACTCTAAAGTCAGGCGATGAAGTAAAGCTCCCTCTCTAGGGCATGCCACGCCCCTGTGGGAGAAAAGAGTCTGAACAGACAATCACCTGCAGGTGACAGTCAGAAGAGACAAGAGCTGGGCGAGGACACCCTGCAGCTGTGCTGAGCACTGGACAGTGAGTACTCCACACCCTCGTTTTGGCTGCAGGCCTGCAGGACATAAGTCTTCTCATGGATGGGTGCTGGACCAGGACACAAGGGCTTGCACGCCGCCACAAGGCAGCCCAGGGGTTTGTTTCCGGATCAGCGGCTCTGTTAGCAGGAAGTCAGGGCCTCGGCTCAGCTTCCACCACAAAGAGCTACTGCAGGTTCCAGGCAAGGGGGCACTATGACAAGATCTGTGAGTGGAGATTCTGGGTTCCACAGATGGACGGACTAGAAGAGCAAAATGCTCCATCTCAGCAACATGGATGGAAGCGTTGTTAGGTCAAAACAAGATATGAGCAGCAAGACAGGAAGGCTTCTCAACAAAATGAGAGAAAAAGGTGAAGCCTGGAGGAGGAATTGCTGGCAGGATTGAACTCACTGAACAGGGCACATGAAGGTCCTAGGGTGTTTGCTTTGGGCATAGGAAATTGTGGATAGAAGAAGGAACCAACAAGATAAAGGCTGCTAGAGGAGCCACCTAAGGAAAGACCATGGGCTTAACTGATGCTTTAGTTTGTCCTCTAGCTCACGGTAACACTCATGTGCCTACTGCCCATGTCATGGAGAGAGACAGACCACTGTGGCCCGGAGGCTGGGGACAGAGCACAACCTCAGTGTGGTCCATGGGCCACCCACATCTGACACCCGGACTTGACTGCAGCTTGATGAGAAGCCTGGGGTTGGAAGTGAAGTTTCTAACATTAGAATAACTGGCAGAATAGGCGAAGCAGAACAAAGGTGGAAAACTGGGCTTCTGAGAGCACTGGAGAGAGCCAATACATTACAGAAGGGCATAGAGGGGCCAAGACCAGGTGAGTGAAGGCCAGTGGCGGGATGTGGCTACCTGCTATGATCCCGTCCATCTGCTCCAGCGCTGCTGCCAGCATGTCGCTAGCATCGCTCATCATCTTCCCGCGTGTCAGAAGACTCCTGCTTCAACCTGGGGATGGAGCAAAGGACTATGATGTTATCACAGCACGCTTTAAGTGACACAAGCTTACTAGTGGGTTTATCAATTGCACTTCAAACTATGACCCCGCTTAACAGTCAGGGAGCGCCAGAAGCAGCAGGAGCTGAATTAATCCCGGCTGAGTCGTAACAGCCCCCAACACCCGAGTCCAGCAGTTAATAAGAGATCAGGTCCTGCACTCAAGCTTGTTCATCTTCACGGGGTAAAGCGTGCTGGCAGAGTGTACAGGCTTTGGGCTCAGTCCCCCAAACTGCAAAACATAGTCTGGTAGGCTATGGCACACGGCTCATCAGAGCTCTATGTCTCTATGAAGTGTATGGGGGACTGCGGAAGGCTGCCGAGGGCCTGGGGAGCAGACAGACTGAAGGACA